GCTCCGGAAGCGCAGGCTCAGCGGCCATGGCTCACGGGCCCAGCCGCTCCGTGGCATGTGGGATCTTCCCGGACCGGGGCACGAACCCGTGTTCCCCGCATCGGCAGGTGGACTCTCAACCGCTGTGCCACCAGGGAAGCCCCACAGGTGTTTTATTCTTAGGCTCTGCGAGTGATGGTGCTTCTAACTCGATGGCTTGACAAACATGAAGGAATGTACGGGTGTGAGGTCACATTTTTATTACAAAGCCATGTCTCTCATATCCCAAGCAAGTGTTATTGCCACTGTACCTCGGTACTAATGAATCCACTTATGAGTCTACGGAAACCAAATGGCAAGAGGGATTATCTGTGATGCCCACCTGGCAAACATGCCTCCGATTTTCCAAGGCAACAGGCAGAGCTGCTTAGCGACCATTACCTCCATAAATAACCTTTTCTCTTTTTAACTAAGTCATCTACTCCATTATTTGCATCAGAGCCTTTTTTCAAAGCATCTGACCCTTTGGACTCATCTGGTAAACTCTAATATTTATGTGGGACCAGCCCTCAACATGAAAGAAGGTTTTTTTTATATGAATTTGCATATCCTGTCAAGGACTTTCTCAGAACACTTTCATTTCAAGGTAAAATGAAACTTACAGGACTAAGCAGAGAAGTGCTTCACATTTCAGTTTAAAGGAGGGGGGTAATAAAGATGTTAAAAAAATAAAATAAAAATTTTTTAAAAATTTTTTAAAAGAGGGGGGATTGAAGCAAAAAATAAGGTTAATTATGACACTGGGGCTTTACAGTGCTAAAAATATACTATATACGAAGGAGCTATGGAAGCTGTGTCCTATTTCTACGTGTCCTTTACAAAGAGCAGGCTCATGATATCTGCAAATTTCTTTTTTTATTATTAGTTTTTATTGGAGTTTTATTAGTTTTATCGTTGCTTTACAATGTTGTGTTAGTTTGAAATTTTCTAGTAAAGATTTTTATTTGAAAACCGTTCATGGTTGTATCTAACTGAAAGGGTTAACATTTCAGCCTTGTTATAAAAATACTATGATGCTTGTCATTAAAGTTCTCTCTCCTTTTCCTCAAGCCAACCCTGACTTTCAGCATCCAAGAGTGGGAACAGCCAACAGAAATTGGGGAAGCCCTCGGGGTCCTGTTTGCATTCTCATGCTCGCCCAAATAGAGAAACGTTAAGACGTTATACTTACCCATGCTGGGAACACAGCATTAGCTGGACTAGAGCAATTTATTTAAGGGATTTATTTAGGTTCCCAACAGCTTTAGGAGAGTATATATGATACTAAGTTTCCACTCAACCCCTTTGATGTCTATGTCAGAGTTAGATGGCAGCAATGGGGCTCAAACCTGGGGTTTCTGTACCCAGCTGTATACTTGTTCACCCACCACTCTGGATGCCACTTAAGCCTGGACTTCCTTTTAATTTCAGTAACTTAATCTTAGGAGTCCTTCAGTGTTTAATTCCCTAGATTAAAATATGACCCTAAACTAGGACTGCCGGATAAAATACAGGATACCCAATTAAATTTGAACTTCAGACAAACAACAAATAATCTTTTAATATTGGCATGTCCCAGCTTCCTAAATTTACCAACCCTCTACTAAACCTTAACTCCCCACCAAGGGCCCTTTCAATCTTCTTTATTTCCATCTAAAAGGAAAAAAAAGAAATGCGGTGAGACCTAGAAAACCTAGTATGAGGTAACCCAGCCAATGAGAGGCCTGTCCTCACAAGATGAATAGAAGCACTCTATCCTCTTCATCCAGTCGTTTCTCTTGAGCTAACTAACCTGGGGGGGCCTGGGCCCACGACGTCACCCAGATGCAGGTAGCTCACGGGGGCCACGACTAGCTCTCCTTCTCAAAACTGACCTAAGTGATCAAATTATTCTTATTTTCATGATCACTTTCACTTTTATCATCATGAAGAATGATTTTTAAATACCAACTCTGGACGAGATGCTGGGGACAATGCATCCTTAACTCAAGGGGTCTGCAATATCATTGGGGACCTAGCAGATAGAATCAAAGATAAATAACAATACAAGAAAGCATAATAGTGTCATATTCCCTTGGGATCTTACCATATAAAACCTGGATGTGCCTTTACTTGATCACACAGCCTCATCCCTCACTTTATAGATGAGTAAGCAGATTTATTTTTATGTAGTCAAATTTTTTGATGTTTTCTTTCAGACTCTGGGGTCGTTGCTGTTGGTCTTTGTTTGTTGTTGTTGTCATACTTAGAATGACTTTCCCACTTGAGGATTATAAAAATATTTACCTGTGGTTTCTTCCAGTACTTTTAATGTTCAGTGTCTTACATTTAAATTTTTGAGCCATATGAAATTAATTTTGATGTAAGAAACAAGGTAAGACTACAGCTTAATTTTTTTCTAAACTTTAAGCCAGTTGCCCAACTTTATCTTAATAATTCCTTTTGCCACTGATGTGACTTTAATGTCCCATATGTGCTTTTTTAAAAAATTAATTTATTTTTATTTTTGGCTCCGTTGGGTCTTTGTTGCTGCGCGCGGGCTGTCTCTCTAGTTGTGGCGAGCAGGGGCTACTCTTGGCTGCGGTGTGTGGGCTTTTCATTGCGGTGGCTTCTCTTGTTGTGGAGCATGGGCTCTAGGCGTGTGGGCTTCAGTAGTTGTGGCACGTGGGCTCAGTAGTTGTGGCGCACGGGCTCTAGGTGCTCGGGCTTCAGTAGTTGTGGCTCGCAAGCTCTAGAGCGCAGGCTCAGTAGTTGCGACGCATGGGCTTAGTTGATCCGCGGCATGTGGGATCTTCTCGGACCGGGGCTCGAACCCGTGTCCCCTGCATTGGCAGGCAGATTCTTAACCACTGCGCCACCAGGGAAGTCCCTCCCATGTGTGCTTTTACTTAACTTTGCTCTCTCCTCCTTTTCACTGATGTACTGGCACTATGCCATTGTAGGCAATGCAGCGGTTATGATGCGTTTACAGATCGAGAAGAGAAATCCTCCCTTTGTTACTTTTTCATTCAGAAGTTACCTGACTATTCTTACCAGGGGTCTTAACCCAGTCAGACCCAATGCCTCATTTTTATGAGAGATATCTGGTCATGTACCCTTTACTATCTAGAGGAGATGACATTTATGGATAACATAACCCTAATCTTTGTGATAAATGAAAAATGCCCAGCTGTGACCTCTAGCCCTAATAACCGTCTATTTCTCTTCATCTATTTACATCTTCTTTGCATCTTCCAGGGTCCTGAGAGAAAACAAGTGGCACACTCAGGGTCAGAAATTGATGAGTTTAGCAAAGTGACTATTCATGACAGTGTGGACAGGATTTAGGGAAATCCCCAACAATGGTGCGGCGTTTCATGGGTTGAGTCTTCACAGTCACAGGCTTCAAGTGGCAAGGCGAAGGAACAATTAGTCGAATTCAGGAAGAGTGGCCATGAGGGGGGAGCATCACCTGACCAGAGCATCATTGCAGGGTGGCAGCCATCCCACAGCATTGGAGAGGGAGGGAGCCCAGGGGTAAATACTCTGACCTTTCTCCCCATTGGGCAAACCCATCCGGAAATCTGCCAGCTAGTGATGAAGTTTGTACAGCTCAGCCTCTCGGGACACAGAGCCGGGTGGGGAGGCATGGAGCACGGATTTGAGGGGCAAATGCCTAGCAAGCAGCCTGCTAGGTAAGGCATCCTTGTCCCCTGCCCGTCTATCACCTGCTTCGTTCGCAAGTGTTTCACGTCAGTTTTCTTCCCAAGTATTTCATATTTTTGTTGCTGTTTTGCGTGGAATCTCTCCTATTATCCATCTGGATTAGTTATTGTTTATATGTGAGAAAGCTATTGATTTTTACATATTGTTTGCGTGGCACAGTGGTTTGCTAAGAGGGCATTTGATTTTTGCTTGTGTGACTTATCACTTACATGGTATGTGACCTGGGGAAAGTCCAGTATCTTTTCTGCATTAGTTCCATTATTTGTTTAAAAAAAAAGGGTAATAAGATATTTACTTCATTTTTTTAGTATTTAATGAGATCATACATATTAGGCAGTTAAAACAGTGTCTGGTTCATAATAAACTCTCACTAAAGATCACTTATTATTGTATCTAATAGTTTTTCAGCTGATCTGGGGCACTATTGACTTTTCCATTCAGTAGATTAACCCTGATGGCTGTCATCTGTTTTTCTTGTGACACACTTGGCAATTTTCAAATTCTCTCCAGGGCGACTAGGCGGACTAAAGATCTTTAAACGTAACTACTGATATTTTGACTCTACCTCCAAAAGGCACCAATAATCAGTTCAGAAGGGAGCGATTCTCCCGGGAACCCCACTTTGAGAAGCAGGTTTTACATGGCCCTGGACTGCGAGTGCAGCTGCCCTCGTTTCATTGAAGTGAGGGAACCAACTGGAAGCTCTGCCCCTGCTTAGAAACCAGAGTCCCTTTCAGCTGGGCCTAAGACAGAATGAGGGAAATTTAGGCGTGTCTCTAAGATACTTGTAGAACAGTGGTCCTCAATCTGGGGCACTTTTGCGCCGCAGGGGATATTTTGCAATGTCTGGAGATATCTGTGATTGTCAAGGGGCAGTGCTACTGGCGTCTAGCGGGTTCAAGTCAGGGATGCTGCTAAACATCTTACGATGCCACAAAGAATCATCTCACCAAAAATGGCGGTAGTGCTGAAATGGAGAAACTCCCAGAAAAAAGGAGATCGATCAACCAGGTTGCTTGGATTTAGACATGACATTGCCCCGACTGTGGTGGTAGAAATAAGAGGAAGCTGCTGCTTCTGCAGACCTCACGTCTGAGATGGCTTAAATACTCACGCTCCTCCCCCCAACCCCTAACCTTGTCTTTGCACTTGGAAACTCCACAGCTGGCAGCCTGGAGTCTCTGTGACTCTAGGTTTCCTGCAGCCTATCTCTTCACTTCAGAAGACTCCAGACCTCGAATCACTCCATGCAGCCGAGAAAGGTATTTTCAACGCTGGGATAAACTCAGATCATTTAAATGACTAGATCTATGAGCCATTCTCAGAGAGAGGGGAGGGGAGGAGAGAGGGAACCCAAATCATATGCAAAAGGACAATTTCTTTTAGAATCGAATGAGTTTTTGTAGTCTCACATGTCATTTCTTCGAAGATAAAGTAGATTTTTTAATAATGTTAGAAATGGTTTTCCGGAGTGCGTCTCTAGTCTAGATAACTTTCAGGAAGTAAATGCTATTAATAGGTGTTTTCAGCAGCGTGTCTTAGAGCCATGTTCCCAGCACGCTTGGAAGCTTCAGTACTTTGCTGTCTCTGAAATGTAAAGTTTGGCGTTTTCTCTTTACCTTAGTTGATGCTATTGGGTCCACCTCAGGCTGATCTTGACACCTCTCATGCTCTGCTCTCTTCAACCAGACCTCTCTGTTTCATTTTGGAAGAAGACTAGAAATGGTAAGGACAGCTAAGAGATCCCTGAAAAGTGTTATCTGTCATTTTTTGTGGGAAGAACTGAAACCGGCCGGCAAGAGAGATGTTTGAGTATCTGTACTTCGGTTATTTGCTGAGGAAAACTTCTTCCATGATCTTTCACAATCAAGATTAATCATGGGGGTCTTTTGTAATTTCAGCTTAATCAATACTTGCTCTGTGCAACTTCCGACAGGAGTTACTGCGTCCCCACGCTGAGGAAGAGTGGATGTTTGAATTGGGGAAATAGCTTCTATGGGTCTAACTTTTTTCACCTCACCTTTTCGGCTTTAAAACCGTAGAAATCACTGAAGTTCCTTTCTGCTTTTTTTAGCGTTTGGTGGCGTCTGAACGAGTATGTGTGTGTGGCAGCAGGGGCAAACGGGCAGGAGTAGGAATACAGGAGCCTGGGCTCGCGTACGGTCACAGAAAAGCAGAAGCGGACCGGACGTAAAGCAGTCGGGGAAACGGGACCTTAGTACAGGACTGGGCTCAGTACCACATACAGCGGAGACACGTGGGGATTTATAGGCCAGGAACAGAGGAAACATCAGGGTTAGGGGGCATTCTGGCTGGACCGACCTGACAGGCTTCTTGCTGAAAGCAGGCCAGGGAGATGGGATATCATCACCATTAGGGGGATGGTAGGGATGAAAGACTTGATCAGATAGCAGGGATGATCAGATAGCGTGGTGAGGGATTCTGGCTGAACTGACCTAACAGGATTCTTGCTAAAACTGGCCACATGGGCACAAAAGCCCCCAAATCAAGGCCTAGTGACTTAGATAAGCCTGACTAAAGTTTAGTCGAGGAGAGAGTCTGTCAGTGCTGGCTCTCCCAGTCGCTAGCTGGGGGACCTTGGGCGTATCACCTCCAGCCCTCTGAAGCTCAACTTTTTTTGGCTATAAAATGAGCATTACTGTACCTCTCCAGTTGCCTTGCAGGGCCATTGCAGGGGCTCAGATAACAAAATATATGTTCAAATCCTTTGCAAGTGCTGTGCGTTATTAGGTATGCCCAAAGTTCTTCACAAAAAGACATCAGTGACCTTTTCTTGAAATTATTTTGTCACCCCAATTAGACACAATGGAGTGCCTGCACCAGGAACCCACTCTGACTTCTAGATCTGAATGTTGGCGCCTGGGCTCATTTCGTGCCTAAGGTCTAATGAAGAGTTAACCACAGGGCCCTATGTTACAAAAGAAGCAACCGCTTAAAGTTTCATTTCCTAGAAACGCAGATGTCTATTTTTAGGCAAACCCATGCCCGCATCTGCCTTTGCCCCTTGAGGGATGGCATGGTAGGGTTGATCGTAATAAAGAGAGCTCACATTTATTGACCACTTACTACAAACTGAGCATCATGCTAAGGGCTGGATGTCTCTGTGTCGATTTCACCCTCCAAGCAGCCTTGTGAGGCAGAGATGAGGGAGCTGGGGCTTCAAGAGGGTAAGAGCTTGTGGTCTTGGCTGGGCAGCTCGACTCTGGTAGTGAGACCCCTCTGCTCTACCTCGACCAAGCTGGCCCGGCACACACTTCCACCCGGGACACAGTCAGTCACCGTGGGCTTCAATTATGATAATTTACTCCTGAAAAACAATTGGGATATCTTTTATAAGGAAAGACATGAAAACAACTTTTAAAAGAAGAAATAGGGCTTCCCTGGTGGCGCAGTGGTTGGGAGTCCGCCTGCCGATGCGGGGGACGCGGGTTCGTGCCCCGGTCAGGGAGGATCCCACATGCTGCGGAGCGGCTGGGCCCGTGAGTGATGGCCGCTGGGCCTGCACGTCCGGAGCCTGTGCTCTGCCACGGGAGAGGCCACAACAGTGAGAGGCCTGCTGGCCGCTGAGCCTGCGCGTCCGGAGTCTGTGCTCCACAACGGGAGAGGACACAGCAGTGAGAGGCCCGCATACAACAAAAAAAAAAAAAAAAAAAAAAAAAAAAGAAGAAATAGAAAAGACCAAAAAGCATAGGAAAATTATGCAATCTTATGAATACTTATAGGTCAGACCCTTTGATGTGGAAACTCCACTTCTAGAAACTCTTAAAGAAACAATCAGGTATGTGACAAACAATTTACGAAGATAGTCTGTGCAGCATATGGCAAAAAGAATATCTCACGTCCAGTGTTGGGAAGGGGTTAATTAATTGTGGTCCACCCATTAAGTGGAATGTTACGTAACCATCAAATCATATTTCTTAAAAGAATAGTGAATGACATAAGAAAATACTCATGATATAATTAATGGTAAATGGAAAAAGCAAGCTAGAAATTAAGTATTGTATATTCCTGATGTTCTTAATGCACATACTAGACACTTACTAAATGTTGGTTAATCTGTGATGACAGTTTGCCTGAGTAAATGGGTTACCTATTTTTCTTAATAGTTTCGCAAGAGAGCCCTGCGTTCTAACCGTTTGACAGTTGAGAAATCAGAGGCTCAGGAGGGAAAGTGATTCACCAAAGTCAGAGAGCGCTCAGGTGGCAGAATAAAGATTTACAATCAAACCCTTCCACTGACGAAGCCCCCGCTAGTACTGAACTGCTTCTCACTGTGTGAAATAGATGCAGGAATGGGGGCATGAGTGTTAGAGGGAACATGCCAAAATAACAGTAGTTAACTGTAGCAAATTGCTTCATCGCCAAAGAGATAATAAGGAATTCGTTTACTAAATTAATCAAAATTGATGGTTTAAAAGTAGGGAAGATGGTGTTGAAATTAAAAACAGTCGTTACAGGGCTCCCCTGGTGGCGCAGTGGTTGAGAGTCCGCCTGCCGATGCAGGGGACGCGGGTTCGTGCCCCGGTCCGGGAAGATCCCACATGCCGCGGAGCGGCTGGGCCCGTGAGGCATGGCCTCTGAGCCTGCGCGTCCGGAGCCTGTGCTCCGCAACGGGAGAGGCCACAGCAGTGAGAGGCCCGCGTACGACCAAAAAAAAAAAAAAGGTAATATTAAAAAAAAAAAAAAAAAAGAAAAACAGTCGTTACAGATGAACCAACCAGTGTCCTTGCACCCCACGAATAGATCATTGATATCTCTGAAGCCCACCAAAGTTTAGGCCTGGGATAGCCAATGATGGCCATGGGTCATAGCCAGCCTGCCACCTGTTTTTGTATAGCCCACAAACTAAGAATTTTTTTATCTCTTTAAATGATTGAAAAAGTCGAAGGAAGATAGTATTTTGTGGCCCATAAAAGTTATATTAAAGTCAAATTTTTGTGCCCACAATAGCTTTATTGTTAGTGTATTTGTTTACATATTGTCTATAACTGCTTTTGCGCTGCAGGGACGAATCTGAGTAGTTGTGACAGAGACCATGTGGCCTCTGCAAAACAAAATATTTACTGACTGGCCCATTACAAAAAAATGTGCCAATTGTGATTTATGTAAACAGGGGGATAGGGTATAATGTCAAGTAAGATTTAATATCTTACGGTCTTTGGTGCCTGTTGTGATGCATAGTAGCTGTTGAGTTCCTAATTTATGTAAGACTACTTTATATCATTTTACTCTTTTATTTTGAAAGCTAGGTCTGTTGGGCTAAAATGGTAGAAGGGAAATGATAAGTCTCTTTATTTAAGTAAGTGGGTTATATCCTTGTACTTAATTTTTTGGTTGTTATATAATGAAACTTTGATGTCCATGGTAATTACATTTTACAGAGGTTAGCCTATAATTAGGAATATTTCAAAATTTGCAAAAAGGGGATATTTGGTCATAAGTCCTTTAGGGAAATTCCCAGTGGAGGCTGGCCTATAAAACAATAGCACATAACTTCCCTTATTCTCTGCCCTCCGTTAGCCCCTAGGGTGATATATACAATGCACATCTAGTTCTCAAACAATTCAGTGTCATGGCAACGTGACAAAAGGTTAGTGAATTCAAATTCAGGGGTTTCCCACAATTGCTCCCCACTCCTTGCCTCTTCCAGGTTTCTTTCTCCTGATTCTTCAGTTGGCCATCACCTCTGGTTCAACGCAGCCCATCCATTTACGGGATCCCCACTGCGCCATGACATCCTTTGCTTCCGTAGCTTGGTTTCAGTGACTCCCTCTACCAGAAATGCATATTCCAACACTTCCTTTTCAACTCAGGCAACGTGGCTTTTTTTCTGCTCTGTGATCTTAAAAATAAATGGGAGGAGTAGCTGAGGGCACCTAGCTGTTGTCCCCTGAAGTCTGGCTCGTCGTAGCCCGCAGGTATGTTGGCCTTCAGACTGGCTACTGGGTAGATGAGCGGAGGATGGAGAAGAATTTTGCTGCAAGTCATTAAATCTAACCAGATCATAGCCATGCAGAATTATATAATAAAGACCAGAAGGGGAATACCGATGCAATACAGAAAGGTGAGAGGTTCTACCTGCCACCAGGTAATCACACCCAACTTCGTCTTCCTGGAGGGCTCTCTCCACCTTCCCCTCTCTTCTACCCCCAGCCCCTCGTGCCGGCTGCTCACTCTTAGCTGATAACCCAGCTTCCTGCTTCCCCGAGTGCATCAGAGAATTGGAAGAGATGGCCCACCGGCTCCCCTCTGCTTGTGAGCCCGCCTAGAGCTTCTGCACCCACCCATCCTGCCTGACCTCCTGTCCAGTTACCCAGCATCGTGTAGCAGATCCCCCCAAAACCCACTGGCTTGATACCACCACTGTCCTGGAGTGTTATGTGTGGCGGGCCCACGGGTTGACTGGGTTCACTGAGGCGGCTCTGGCGCTGGGTGTGTCCGCCACTTGCAGTTGGTGTCTGGGGCTGGACTCACCCCCGCACAGGTCTGGTGCCTGGATGGGGAGACTCCACAGCTGCGGGCTGCCTCTGTATGCATGTGGTCTCTCCAGTGTGGCAGCTGTGCTGTCCCCGGGCTTCTTCCAAGGCTGGTGGCTCAGAGCTCCAGTTCAAGTGGAGAGGGAGACAAAGAGATTGGGAGAGAAGGGGTGCTTGGCGAGGTGGAGACTCTCACACCTGTTCTGTCGCAGCCTGGCAAGTCCTGCA